ATGCCAATACCGATATTAGGGAGTAAAAAAAGACATATCTATATATCTGCCAATTTTCTTTGTGTAGGCTATATTATAGTACAGTATAGTCAAAAGTTTGGACACACTTGCCATTTGTGTGTTCAAACTTTTGACTGGTACTGTATATACAATACAGTACAGGTGCATCTCAATAAATTAGAATGTCGTGGAAAAGTTCATTTATTTCAGTAATTCAACTCAAATTGTGAAACTCGTGTATTAAATAAATTCAATGCACACAGACTGAAGTAGTTTAAGTCTTTGGTTCTTTTAATTGTGATGATTTTGGCTCACATTTAACAAAAACCCACCAATTCACTATCTCAACAAATGAGAATATGGTGACATGCCAATCAGCTAATCAACTCAAAACACCTGCAAAGGTTTCCTGAGCCTTCAAAATGGCCTCTCAGTTTGGTTCACTAGGCTACACAATCATGGGGAAGACTGCTGATCAGACAGTTGTCCAGAAGACAATCATTGACACCCTTCACAAGGAGGGTAAGCCACAAACATTCATTGCCAAAGAAGCGGGCTGTTCACAGAGTGCTGTATCCAAGCATGTTAACAGAAAGTTGAGTGGAAGGAAAAAGTGTGGAAGAAAAAGATGCACAACCAACCGAGAGAACCGCAGCCTTATGAGGATTGTCAAGCAAAATCGATTCAAGAATTTGAGTGAACTTCACAAGGAATGGACTGAGGCTGGGGTCAAGGCATCAAGAGCCACCACACACAGACGTGTCAAGGAATTTGGCTACAGTTGTCGTATTCCTCTTGTTAAGCCACTCCTGAACAACAGACAACGTCAGAGAAGAACTGGACTGTTGCGCAACGCTGAACTCATATGTCATCCGCCCGGAGCTGCTTCCATGTACAACTGTTGGCGCAAGCTACATTAAAGTGATTATTACGTTTTGAATATGGATAATTTTCTTACAAAAACGCATTGATTCGCTACAGGAGGCCTTTGTTCACCCCCAGGAGCCATGTGAAACACTTTTTTTTATGGATGGGTGCTTTTTATTTAACTTCTTTTGGACTGATGGACTGATTGGACTAATTTAAATTTTTGGGTGAACTAACCCTTTAAGAGAGCAGTTTACTTAATTCCTGAATGAATCAGCCGTTTGAACGAATCAACTCATTAAGACATTTACTGCCACCTTCTGGAAGATTTAGTTTGTTATTTAGAGTATCACTTCATAAAAAAAAAAATTATAATAATAACAAAAATAAAAACATTAAAGGGATAGTTCACCCCAAAAATTTTTTATTTTGTCATCATTTACTCACCCACATGTCGTTTCAAACCTTTCTTTTGTGGAACATAAAAGAAGGTACTTTGAAGACTTGGCACAAAGCTGTTTTGCTTACCAATGACTTTCATTGTTTGAACAAAAAATAGAGGTTACTGATATGTTTCTCAAATTCTTTTATGTTCCATAGTTTGTTAGGCCGTTGCAGCCTAAATGTTTGTGTAATAAATTTTATGTTGAATCAAGTACAATATTTCTTTCTAAAGCTACAATTTGCAATGTCTACTTGATACTTTCTCATTAAACACAAAATAGCTTTAAATAATCTTTTGTGGGTATTTTCACAGTCAGATTTATTGTGCGATTAATTATATTAATTAATCGAAACATCATGTAATTAATTAATGATATGGCTGCTATTAATGTAATCAATAGCAGCCATATCACCCTGTAGCCCAAGACTGGTTGCCCACTGAAGCTAAACAGGGTTGAGCCTGGTCAGTACCTGGATGGGAGACTTTCTGGGAAAACTAGGTTGCTGCTGGAAGAGGTGTTAGTGAGGCCAGCAGGGGGTGCTCACCCTGTGGTCTGTGTGGGTCCTAACGCCCCAGTGTAGTGACGGGGACACTATACTGACAAAAAGCACCGTCCTTCGGATGAGATGTTAAACCGAGGTCCTGACTCTCTGTGGTCATTAAATATCACAGGATGTCCTTTGAAAAAGAGTAGGGGTGTAACCCCGGCAGCCTGGCCCAAATCACCATTGGCCTCTGACCTTCATGGCCTCCTAACCATCCCCATATCTGCTGGTTGGCTTCATCACCCTGTCTCCTCTCCACCAATAAGCTGGTGTGTGGTGGGCGTTCTGGTGCACTATGGCTGCTGTCGCATCATCCCAGTGGATGCTGCACACTGGTGGTGGTTGAGGAGATTCCCCCCTTCTATGTAAAGCGTTTTGAGTGCCCAGAAAAGTGCTATATAAATAAAAATGTAAAAAAAAAATATATATATATATATATATACACACACACACACACACCCATACAGTAATTATTGTTGTTTAATTTTATTTCAGCTTTATTTCAATTAACAAAAATGATTTTTAGTAGTTTTAGTTAATAAAAACACTGATAATAGCTGGCTGGTGGGACAGTTTATACATACATGCATGTAATTAATTAATGACATCATTAATAATCAGTGTTGTTATTGGTAACTAAAGCTTTTATCATTTCATCAGTTACATTAACTAAAAAATAAATATAAAAACTAGGCCTACTCCAAAATAATAATAAATATAAGTATGATAATAAATAAAGAATAGTCATATAATTTGTGATTAATGTTTCCGTATGTGTTTGTGCTTTTGCTTGATTAATCCATCAAGGAGGTTTTATGTCTTTATTACAAAAAGAACAAGGTCACCACTTCCACATATGCTGCGGTAACCTTCATGGGAAATGGCCTTTATAGCCTCGTTCTTCTCCTGCATAAACATAAACTGATGAAGCAGGTTACACAAATGGGTGTGCCATGTTCTGTAATATTCAGCAAGAATTTATCTGGATCATGTATAAGGAGAAATAGCAGAAAAGAAGGCCACATTATTCATAGCGTGTATGTTAGAGAAAAATGAACGTAAGGTTATAGTAAATATTATATCTTTTTAAATGTATTATTTTATTTTTTATTTATATATGTATATATTTATAATAATAAATAAACAAATATTTATATGTATATATATATATATATATATATATATATTA